AGATAGAAAGGGAAAAGAGAGAAATTGTGAGAAACTTGCAAGAAAATTCTAGTTTCAACCATCTCACAACACCATCAGGAAGGTAGACACTTGAAAGCTTGTACATATTGAGAATTAATTGGCGATTACCTTTTTGTTATTTTGGAGCCTCTTGCGTCAACAATAATTTGACTAGTTTACGTCAGTCAATATCCAAGTTTGGATAGAATTGGCTCTGCAAATTGCTTTTAGATAGATTGATGTTATCCAAAATTGAATTTTGACAAATGGAAGGCGGTTAAAACTGAGATCAGCCAAAAGCATGTTACATGTTACTTCTTTGCTAACCATGATTTTGGACTCCAGCATGATTTGAAAATAAAAAATTGTGTTGTTTGGTTTTTCAAGTTCCTTTTGGAATTAGTGATGCTGGCAACCGCTTTCAACAAAAAAACGTAATTTGGGCTTCAAAACTATGGTTCTTACCTCCAACTTGTTTTCAAAACGTGATTAGTTAATAAAAGCTCAATTTAATAATAGTTACTGGAAATCAAAGAGAGCATATAATGAGTCATTTGAGGCTCTTCTGACTCCCTTATTGACAAAGCTTTGGATAGCAACCCAGATCACAAGATGTTGTAGTTAATTTGTAATCTTTGCAAGGTTTTGATACAATATTTATAATCATTTACTAGCTTGGCATTGATTTATGATTTAAAGTGCATCCAGCATCTCGAGGTATTTTCTCAGTACATCCAGCATCTTAAAGTATTTTATTGTGCATTTAACATCTTGAAATATTTTTTTAGGTGCGTTCAGTATCGTAAAGTATTTTTTGGTGCATCCAGCATCTTAAAGTACTTTTTCAGATACATCCAGCACCTAAAAATATTTTTTGGTGTATCTAGCACCAAGGCAAAAAAAAATACTTCAGGGTACTGGGTGTCCCTAGGGGTAGAAGTAGGCTAGGCCCTTATCGGAGGCCTACGGTCTAGCCTACTTTAAGCCTAACCTAGCCTATTTAGTAAATAGGTCAGGCTCAGACTTAGACCTATTGCAAGGCCTATTTAGATAAACAGGCCAGGCCTATTTCTATAAGGCCTAGCCTACAAGTCTACAGGCTTGGCCTATTTAGCTTTTTTTTTTTTTTTAATTTACACTATTATATAATATAATCTAGACTAATTTTATAAATTATTTATAAAATTACTAAGCTATAATCTAAGTCTCACATCCCATCATTCACACACAAACGCAACCCTTTCATCAATCAATCTTTCACCTTTACATTTCTTTTCTTTGATCACTCAAGATGACTACGTTAGCTCACTCCCTCTCTCCTGACTTACATTGTTCGCTAAAACATAATAATTTTAGTAAGTTTGTTTTAGTCATGCCCAAATGAAATATTATAATATTGCTAGAGAAGCAAGAGGTAAAATCTAGTTTTAATTACATGCCACTTGTTGGGTTTGGTTGATTTTAGAAAATATATCTCCTTAGTCAACATATAATTGGTTTTTCTTATTCATATTTGTTAGAACAATTGTTGTCACTAAACATTCTTTTTCCTTACTAGACTTTTATTATCTTATATTATATGTGAGAATAGATCCTAAGCTTTTAAGACATAACATAGGCTTTAAAATAGGTTTGAAGAGTTATACATGAATTTGAAGTATATGCTTTTAAGCCTATTTAAATACCTAAATTTTAAGTAGGCTTTTAAAAAGGCTTTCAGGCTTATCAAGCCTTTTGAAGGCTCAGGCTCGAGCTTAAAAAAAGCCTACATGCAGGCTCAGGCTCAGGCCCAGGCTTTAGATCTCTTATGCAGGCCCAGACTATTTAGCTAAAGCCTAGTCTGGCCTAGCCTATTTCCACCCCTAGGTGTCCCTAAAAAATACGTCGGAGTGTTGGATGCACTTGAATATATTTTAGGGTGTTTGGATGCATCCGAAAAGATATTTTAGAGTACTGGATGCATCTTAACTCTTAATTTATATATGCTCGCGTGATTATGGGTTGGTGATGAAATTGGATTTCGTGACATAACGAAATGCAATTTGATTTATTCGGTACTGGTTATATGCATATTCATCCTAATGAATTTCACATTGTAAACAGTAACGCATAGTGCTTTCCGTTGTGTTTGGATGAATGTAGAGTTATGCATAATCTAAATTAAGAAAAAGGGAGTTGACAAAAAACAAAAAAGAAAAAGGAAATATGCTATAATATACTACATTCGGTCCTAGATATAAGACTTTGTTTATAATCTTATATTTAGAACCGAGGTAATATATACATTTATAATTATTATAACATTTATTATTCATCCAAACAATATATAGTGATTATACCATTTATTATTCATCCAAATAATAAAACTTGAATTGGATTTGGAAATTAAAATCCTTTTCTCAAATTTGAAGATGCATTCTAATTCTAACTGGCAATTTCTTGTCCCTGCACTGCTCTCATCATCCATACTTACTCAGCCTCACCCTTTTATCTTCACTCCCACTTCTCCATTTCAAATTGCTCAGATTACAGCTCCCCCCTTACCACATCAACATCTCTCTTTTCTTCACAGTCTACTATTTGCTTAATAAGTTCAGCCTGTCTCTTTTTTGAAAGACTTTGATTATTTTTATAAAATAAAATAAAAAAATAGAATAATTTAACTTTGCAAAATTCAAAAGCTAATTATTTTGGATCAATATTAATTTCTTAAAAAATTAGTATGTAGACACATATTGTCAGTTAGATAAATATTAGTTACTTTTCTCAGAAAAGAAAAGTCATTACATGAGAAAAAATTTAAAAATGTAGCAAATTCAGGGAAGACTTGGAGTCTTTACGCCAGGTTGACTTGGCTTTGGTGACACGAGTCGCAGTCATGCGGGAAGGAGTATGCAACAATACCTCCAAGCTTGTAGGAAATGAGTTGTCAGTGGAAGTAATATTTCCTTAATTTCCCATTCATTTTTCCAAGTCTTTGGTCAATAACAGCATTTATGTCTTCACTTCTGTTTCATACTACCGTTCAGTTAGTTTTTTTTTTGTTACAATATAAACATTAGTTGATATTCAATCTGATATTAAATAAAAATCTTAATTTATTTTATCTTAAATATTTATTCATTTTCCTCTCAGGATTCTTATGGACTGCATATATGTTGTTAAAGAGTTTTTATCAAGAAATAACTTAAATTCACATGATTAATAAAGATATTTTAGATAAAACAACATCAATTTATTACAGATAACTAACTTAATTATTTTTTAATATTTATAAATTAGCTATTAGTTTTAATATTAAGAAATTAAGGTAGTATGATATAATTAATTGGAAGGAGTCGTGAGGGAAGGGGCATGGAAGGAAGAAAATGGGCCCTCTGCTCATTCAATTCTCACGTCTCCTTTTCTTTTTGACTTTTTGGCATACGCTAATGGAGCCCGACGGATTCCATTTACATAGATATATTGGTGTGTTCAGACTGGAAGCTGAGAAAACCAACCCCATATGCATTTAATATTGGATTGCTGACCAGAAAGAATTCTCCCATTTGCTTTTTAATAATAGTAATATTAATATGGCAAAATTACTTTGTACTTTGTATAACCAATCTTATTACTAAAAAGCCTCATGACAAGTGAACCGCAGATACACCTGTTGTGACTTTTTGCATCAAAATTTATTATTTCATGCTGCTCACTTGTTGTGCGACTTTTTAGTAATTTGATTGCTCATCAATGTGGGATTGCATGAAGATCTTTTCAAACGATTTCTTAGAGTATGAGCAGAAAATGTATGAAGAATTGAAGACGAAGCACAAATAAAGGAAATAAATGAAAACCAATAATTAAGGGGAAAGTCGTCGGATTGCATCATGGCCGGGGTGGCTTCTAAGTACATACGTCAAATCTTCAAGTATTATACACATGAATGTAAAAGTCATCTGATTACATTTATCTTTTTTTGGTTTATTTTTGCAATCATCAATTCGCAGATTCAAATTCCCCCTCTTTTATAGATCACGAGCTTTTGTTTGAGAACTCGCATAATGTCATGGGTCACTCATCACTCTAATAAAACCAACCAAATTTTTAGAAGGTGTTGCAAAGATGAAGCGGTTTCGAATTTGATAAGCTAACTAATCTGCAGAAAAAAGGTGGTTATGCGAGTCAAAATGATCACGGGCGTGTCATGGTGAGGGAGGGAGCAAGGAAGGAAGACTGTGGACCCTTTCGGCCTTTCCTCATTCTCGAGGTGGTCCTCCAAACAAGCTTTCACATTAAGTAGGTTCATTCTCGAGGTGGTCCTCCAAACAAGCTTTCACTTAAGTAGGGCTTTAGCTCTCTTCCCTTATTGCAGACAAAGAGAGAGAAAAGAAGAAGAAAGAGAAGATAGAAAGGGACAGAGAGAAATTGTGAGAAACTTGCAAGAAAATTCTAGTTTCAGCCATCTAATAACACCATCAGGAAGGTAAACACTTGAAAGCTTGTATATTTGAAGCATTAGCGTTTAGACACTTCACCTCTAGCTGTAAGCCCAGGTCAGTATATCATACATCTGAAACTTCCACTATTTTTCTTTTCCATTTTTTTCCTTTGCAATCTGATCATCGCATATTTCATTTGTTCCCTTTAGCGAAATGAAATGGTCTAGCTGTGTTGTAGGTCGTAATATTGCTGGTTCATCAAATTATTGGCTTAAGCATTTATGGCAACTAACCAAGCAGCATCTTCTTCAAATTCTTCCAACTCCAGTTCAACCCAAAGAACTTGGAAGTATGACATCTTTTTGAGTTTTAGGGGTGAAGATACTCGTAACGGCTTCACTGACCACTTGTATCATGCCTTAAAGAGGAGTGGATTCACTGTTTTTAGAGATAATGAAGAACTTGAGAGAGGAGAAATCATTTCCAAAGAACTCAAACAAGCAATTGAGGATTCTCTGTTTGCAATTGTTGTTCTCCTCAAAAAATTATGCTTCTTCTTCATGGTGTTAAATGAACTCGGACATATTCTTTACTCAAGAAATAATTTGTCTCAACAAGTTTTCCCATATTTTATGATGTAAATCCATCTGATGCACGGCATCAAAGAGAAAGTTTTGCCAAAGCTTTTGATGGGCATCAAATGCTTCAAAGGGACAAGGAGGTCATGGAAAGTTGGAGAGATTCTCTCAGGAAGGTTTCGGACTTATCTGGTTGGGATTGCAATAAGAATCGGTGAGTTAATTTCTTATTGGATAAAATTATGCAACAAATATTTTGTATTTATATAATCATTTTCTAGAACATATATTGATCTAGATGCAGTCAGGCTATTTGGTTGACATGTGTGTGTTCTTATTTTAAAAACTAAAAAAATTAATTATTAATATGAACATTTTAGTTGAAATAGACAATTATACTTCGTATTACAAGTGTCATCATTCTTTTTATTGTTTATTCACTCGTTCTTTCCATTTCTGTTTACCACTATTTAATAAATGAGCTTTCCTCGCTAACTTTTGTAGAAACACGAATTTTAAAACTTTTTTAATACAATTATTTGGTATTGATACTACTAGTTAAATTTTGAGTATTGTGGAACCAAATTTATAGTACTTAGTCATTTTTTAGTTATGTCATATTTATTCTAATAAATTTTGTAACTATCCTTTTTTTTTTTGTATTTGAAGTTAAAAGTTTTAAAATTTTAAATTTGTATTTTGTTATTTTTTATTTTTTCATATCCAAAACTTGAACTGAAAAGCTTTAGCATCACAATTAAATTAAGGGAGGATTACAATCAAGTCCCATGAAAGGGGAAAAAAATTACAAAACAATTCCTAGAAGTTGTCATTCTCCACTGTAAGACTTGTCATTACAGACTGTTCAGATTGTTATTAGGACCTTTTCATAATTATTTCTCTTATATGGGACTTAATTGCAATTCTCCCTTAAATTAAAGTGCTCGTTGAAAAAAAAATGAACAACAACTGCATCTCTGGGCTATTGCCAAGGTGAAATTGTTTCAATGTGTTGATAATCCAAAAGGAAAAAATATTAACAATTGGAGACATTAGAGCAACAAATATTATACTACCTCCTGTCTTAATTATGAGATCTTGTTTGTAGGTCTTATAATTAGGACTGGAGGTAGTATAATTACAAAATAAATCAAAAGTTATATTTCACATGACTATTCATACGTTGTTGTAACTTGTAGGTCTGAAGTAGAACTTGTTGACACAGTGGTTGAGGAGCTGTGGACCAAATTACATCTTAGACTACCACCTTATACTGAAGGACTCATTGGAATTGACAATAAAGTGAAACAACTAGCGCCACTATTGGAGATAGGTTCGAATGATGTTCGGTTTCTAGGAATATGGGGTTTAGGGGTGTTGGGAAGACAACAATTGCTAGGGCTGTTTTTGAGAAATATCATAGCCAATTTGATATTAGTTGCTTTCTTCACAATGTTAGGACAGCTTCAGAAAGAGATGGTGGCGAGGTTCAATTACAAAGTTTATTTCTTTCAAATCTCAAAATAAGAAACATGGAAATTGACAATAGCTATGAAGGGAGGAAAATAATCCAAAACCGTTGTTGCAATAAAAAAGTTTTACTTATCCTTGATGATGTCAGCCATACAGCCCATCTAGAAAATTTGGCTGGTAGCCCAAGTTGGTTTGGTGCTGGGAGTAGAGTGATCATAACAACTAGACATTTAGACTTGTTGCGTGGAGCACGTGTCTCATATCTACATGAGGTTGAAACTATGAACCCAACTGAATCCCTTCAACTCTTTTGTCAGAAAGCATTTGGAAGAAGTGAGCCTCGAGAGGATCTATTGGGGCTATCTAAGACTATTTGTAATTATGCAAAAGGTCTTCCTTTAGCTCTTTCTATTTTGGGTTCTTTCTTTTGTGGAAAAAGCTGCGTGGCAAAATGGATAAATGCTTTAAATATGTTGAAGGAAGATCAACATGAACAAATTTTCAAGATACTTCAAATAAGCTTTGATGCGTTAACCAGTAGAGAACAAACAATATTTTTAGATATTGCTTGCTTCTTCAATGGTTGGAGCAAAAACAAAATAACAAAAATATTAGAAAGTTGTGGTTTTAATGCGAAAATTGGAATAACAACTCTCCAGGAAAAATCTATGTTGAAGGAATATGGCAGTATTTTGGTGATGCATGATTTGGTGGAACAAATGGGTAGGAAAATTGTTATGGATAAGTCCTCTAATTGTGTTGGAAATCGTAGTAGATTGTGGACTAATGAAGATATTGATAAAGTTATGCAAAACAATTGGGTGAGTATCGATCTTATCTCTTATTGGTTTTAATATATTTTACATATTATTAGGTTTTAATACATTTTACATCTTATTAATTTCTTGTATAGTAAATTTGATACCATTTTTCTTGTGGCTAATGTTGTTTATCAGGGTATAGAAGAAATAGAAGGTATGATTTCATCCCCATCTTGTGAGGCATTTTGGGATCCTAAACCATTTTCAAAATTGCATAACCTTGTTTATCAAGACACAAGAGAAATACAAGGTGAGGTTTCATCCACATCTTGTAAGGCATTTTGGGATCGTGAAGCTTTTTCAACATTGCGTAAGCTTAGATTACTCATGATATCAAGTGATTTCCATGTTCCTGTTAGCCTCAAATGTCTTTCTCATGCTTTGAAAGTACTTTATTGGACAAAATATCCTTTAGACACTCTTCCTTCTGGAACTCGATTGCATGAACTTGTTGATCTTAGAATGCATCATAGCAAATTAAAGAAACTTGGCCTGGTAAGATATCTTTATCCTTTGATGTTATTGATAGTGTCATTGATTATCATAGTTAGCAAAATATATATTTTTTTCATTGGTTCTCATATATTTGTTTGACCAGTGCTCGAAGAATTTGAAGTTTTTGGACTTGCGTTTTTCCAAAAACTTGATTAAAACTCCTGATTTTTCTAAACTTCCAAATTTGGAAAGATTAGAACTTGAAGGTTGTGAAAAACTTGTTGACCTCCATCCTTCAATTGGACAGCACAAAAAGCTTCAAGTGTTGAACTTGAAAGGTTGCAAAAGTCTTATAGCCCATTGTCCCAAAAAATTGGAAATGACTGCACTAAAAGAATTTGTTCTTTATGGATGCATTCGAGTGAAATTTCTCCCAGAGTTTGGGAAAAATATGAAAAATCTAGAAACGCTCGATGCTGGGGAGACAAATTTAGTCAAACTTCCCGAGTCACTTGGCTTGTTGACTGGTCTTAAAACTCTGAAATTAAGGGGTTGCAAAAATCTTGTTTGCCCTCCTCAAAGCATTCACAATTTGAAACATCTTGTCCTTGTTGATATTGCTGGGTGCTCAAAATTTGCTAGATTGCCAGAGAAGTTGAATGAAATTGAAGCCTTGGAGGAGCTAGACGCAAGTGAAACCGATATAACTGAAATACCGTGTTCCATTGGTGGTTTAGAAAAACTCAAGAAATTGTCATTCCGTGGGTGCAAAAGGTCAACATTGAACTCTTGGAGCATGATTCTTTCGTTGAAGCACATGTTTTGGAGGCATTCAATTCATAAGGGCTTAACATTGCCTCCTTCAATGTTCAATCTTAAATCACTGACACAATTGGATTTAAGCTATTGCGGTTTTGATGATGGATCCATTCCGGATGACTTGGGTGGCTTATCATCGTTAAGGAGGTTAGATCTAAGTGGAAACAAGTTTAAGAATCTACCTGCTGGCTGCATATCTAATCTTTTGAATTTGGATACTCTGAATATAAATTCTTGCTCGGAACTTCAGTCGTTGCCGCAGATTCCGCCAAGATTATCGCAGATGTATGCAGAAGAATGTGATTCATTGGATACAGTGGAAGGTGAACAATTATCACATCTCTTTGCTTCAACGGACCAGGTACATACATATAGCCATATATCATCATATAATTATATGTATTTATTTTGTGTTTAATCATACTATATAATTTGATATGTGATTATTTATCGGGTTAGGCGGGAGTGCTTGGGCCACGTGATTATTTCTCACTGATAATTCCTGGAACTGAAGTACCGCCATGGTTTGAGAATCAAATCGATCTTTATCTGAATCATAACTTCGAAGCTCTAGTGATGATAGACATACCTCCTTGTGAAGAAATGTTGGGAATTGGATTATGCACTCGTCTAGAAAGTAACTTTTACTGTTGGTGGCAGTGTAGTCATGCTTATGTTGGACATCCCAATCGCGGAAACCATGCTATGCCAGCGTCTAATTGTAAGGGTGGAAAGAAAAGAAAGTCTTGTCACCTCTGGGTCTCATTTTACAATCCAACAAAGGATGTCCGTGATATGTGGCAATCAAGGAAGAACAATCAGATTCCCTTTGCATTTCGAGCCCCTTCTTACGATGCGGAAGTTTCAATAAAGTGTGGATGGCGTGTCATTCACAAAGTTGATGTTGAAAACGGCAACAGCTCAAAGAATCAAAGTCCCCTTCCAATATTGGAACAACAAATGGACCAAGTAAGTCACTGCCATTAAACTCTTTCTTTTTTCATTTTTATTTCAAGCTACCTCCTCCATCCCTATAACTTGTAAAACACTTAACCCACATTACACACGCTTTTTTAAGTCCTAAACATAGCACCATTTTAACTAATTTATTGGTATTAAGAAAACATGTGCAATTAGTCAAATACTCCCTTCGGTCCCTTAATATAAGATGTTGGTTAAAAGAAAATTGTGGCCTAAATATAAGATGATAGTAGGACAATTAGTGTGATTTTTTCACTTTTGTCCCTATTAAATATAGAAGAGAAATGTGAGATAATAAAAATAAAATATTAAAGGCAACTTTATCATTTTTTTAGGGAAAAATAGGCAAACTTTATCATTTTAGAACATGTTTAGCAACTCCACTTCCATTTCTTAATGTCTGAAAAAAAAAAAAGTTAACCAATTTTTTATATTATGCATCAGAGTTAGTACTCTTTTACAATTATTCCTTCCTAACATTATACTGAATGAGATATAGTAACTGTAGTAGTAGTGACCTTTTTACCAAAGTGAAAATTGAGCTTTTTTTCACTTACGAAAGAAAATGAAGCATTAACTAGCTAGGGGTATTTTGATGTGAGAGAGAAAATGGATAGATGGGTTCTCGTTGTGATGATTGAGGGCTACAACACATTGTGCAGGTTGTTGATCGTAACCCGACACCGACGACAGGCCTTGGGAGCCCATGGCCTTTCCATACTGCATTCACAAAACATGGTCCCATAACGTTCCCAAACCCACCTTCAGGTTCAAAGCTCGGTGCTCCATGCAAAAGCCTCCAATATATTGCCTCTGGTTTTATATATTATATATTCATACTCTCAAATAAATTAATGAATTTCCATATATTAACCATCTTGCACTACAGAGTGAAGTATTTATTAACTTTTAAAATTTAATTATTTTTATTTACAATTTTAATATTTCCACGCTAACTATATGGTTTTTTTATTCTGATAAAATAATTGGAAATAATTTATCATAATTACGATTGGAAAAATACTTTAGGATGGTATCAATATGATATTGGTTCTTGACCAGAGGAAAATGCCAATATCAATATGTTGGAAGGTCAACCCCTTCCCCACTCTTTTTATTTATGGGTCTTATGTTTTGACTTTTGAGCCAAGCTAACGCATGTGGAGAGTGGGGATAGGGCTTTTCAAGATTAGATCCACCAATACTCAAATATGATTGACAGAGCTCATTATTTTTATACATTTACATATATAATTTTAAGTTAGGTTAATATAATTTTTGGTCTCTCAAGTTTGTTTTTATTTTAGTTTTGATCTCTTAAATTTCAAACCAGAAGTTTTAATCCCTAGCTCAAGTTTCTTTTCATGTAAAATGCTGGTCTTTATAATTTAATAAAAATTTAGACCATTTTGTTAATTGAGAGACTAAAACCAAAATAAGAATAAATTTGAGATACTAAACATTATATTAATCTTTTTATGTCGTCTCTGTGTGATTTTCTATCGACATGTAATGCATGGTTTGATTGTGTGTGCAGGTGATTGTCCATGCTTTGATTGTCTGCGGGGGAGGATATGGGACAACATGTTAAGGACCTATAATAGGGCCATGGTGGGTTGAACCCATATATGTTGGGCTGAAACAACCCGTTTGAAACGTGAGTTGGTTTTTAGCCAATTCTAACCCTTGCAAGGTGAGTTGACGGGTTGACCAGCTAATACTTTTTTTTTTGGAATTTTTTTTTACTTTTTAATACCTTTTTTTTTTTATATAGTATCCAAAAATAATAATAAAATTTTTGTTTTTCCTTGAAATATTTAATTGAAAGCACCAAATAAATTATATAAGTATTTTTTTTATTTTTGTAGATAGGATATAATATATAATAATATAATTATAATAATTAAAAGATTAAAAAATAAATGCGGGTTAGGCTACGGGTTGGCAAGCTAACCCATGACTGGTTGCGGGCCTGGCGGTGCAGGTTAAAAAGGCTCATTTACTGTCGAGTTGGTTTTTGGCCAATCCTAACTCACCATTTTTGGCGTGTTTGCGGGTCCAACCCATATTATTAGCTCTAAGCTATAGAACCCTAATGACCAATCCAGCAAAACGACGATGAAGGATCAGAGGACATGGAACGCTGTGTTTTTGCTGAGGGTTCCCATATCTAATTGGAGATCGCAAATTTTCATTACTATAGTGTATAGTGAGTCTAGTTATTTCCTTGTAAGAAATAAGTTGTCAGTGGAAGTAATATTTCCTTCATTTCCCATTCATTTTTCCAAGTCTTTGGTCAATAACAGCACTTATGTCTTTGCTTCTGTTTCACACTACATTCGGTCTGTTTTTTTTTTTTTGTTACAATATAAGCTTTAGTTGAATATTCAATTTGATCTTAAATATAAAATCTTAATCCATCTTATTTCTAATATTTATTCATTTTCCCCTCAAGAAATTCTTATAGATTGCATATGTTATCAAGGAGTTTCTATCAAGGGATAATTCAAATTCATATGATTCATAAGGATATTTTAATTGAATAGATATCTATATATGAGTTTATGCACTCCACCAAAGCGCAAACTTCACTGCTCATGCCTCTCCTTATTATTTTTTTTTTCCTGGCTGTGGAATTATTATATATGCAGGATTGTTGATTAATTACTGCTTAAAGAAGAGGCTCCAATGGAATAGTTGGTTTGCTCGCAAAGTTTGTTATGAAAGTGAATATTATGATGAAGAAATGCTGCGTTACTCACAAAAGAATGTGGCAGTGTGTTCTTCACCGAAATCCCAATTGATCTGTCCTATTGAAAGTCATATATTATATGAACTTTGCGTTGCTTCAACGCCTTATCCGTATATACTCTGTTGCACTTCTTTTAGTAGAGACATCTGGCCTCTGTTTTTGCCGATCATGTTGTTACGTTGATATTCTTAGTTTTGTCGATATCCATGTCTTTGGCATTCTATCGTTGAGGACAGACAAACATACGTCATCGAAAGATATCGCATATACAGCACGATTACAAAACACGAGTCCAATACAAAAAATTAGAGAAGCATTTTTAGTGATAAGTTTAATTTAACAATTCATAGAGGTATGTACAACGAAAATATTAATTTTGCAATATAATTGCACTCTTCGATGAACTTTTGTTTTTATTCAATCATAAGATAAGAAAACCTTAAAAATGAACAAGTTCAATTTAACAATTTACAAGTCTTTATTAATTATTAATAACAAATTTTTGCAATCAAGTTGCACTCTTCAAAAACATATATTATTATTTAATCACAAGATAGGTGTAGAAATCAATAAGTCCAATAATAGCTACCCAAAAGCTATTAGATGTTCACAAAAAAGATTTTTGCAATAAAATTGTTGTCAACAATCAACATCGATGCTCCGGAGAAGCCATTCGCAGGGTTGGGAGCCGGTCGTTGGTGGAAATGACTTAGGAGGTTACTTTTCTTTTTTTGTTTTTTAAAAAAAGGGCAAATTGGTAAAATACCCAACATTCTAAAATCTCATTTTGGTCTAAAAGTCTAACTGGGGATTTGTTGAATTTAAAGGCCTGATTTTGAATTTGGGTATTTTAGCTGCCTTTAAAATGGATTTTCTCATCAAGGTTTGAATCATTGAGCAAGACCAAAGGAAAAACAAAAAATTATGGTTGCAGCAAAATAATCTATATCTTTATACAGTAAAATGGTCTTGATAATCTTGGTGTTATTTTGTCGTAATTATATAGACTTTCTTTGTGAACATATACTTCAATATGATATATTACTTCCGTTATGCTTTAAAGGAATCTAAAAATACATTTGTTAAAATATTTTTAAAAAAATTTATGTACTAATCTATTCATCAATACACTAAAATCCTAATTCATTTATGTAGATTTATCCTCTCAATTTGTCTAATTTCTAAATTTTATTTTAGCCCTTGATCCATATAACAATTCATATTTTTCTTCTTTCTTTCCTTTTTCCGTGAAACAAAGGGGACCTATGTCCCAAAGGAAAAAAAAATCAACTAAAATGTTAAAAAGAAATAAATATTGCATCCTTCTAATTTACCCGGAGGGAACAGTACAACAATTTAAATCAATATGACTGTTAAAAAGTAAAATTGAAACAAGTTCAAGGAATTGTAGATTGAGAAGATCCAAATTTATAATCCATCTAACCGTCTCTGCATGCCTTCCCATGGAACAAGTTATAATTTTTATCTTCACGACTCGGCCACCACTTCGTCTTCTCGAAATCACTCATGAAATGATTAATATACATAAACACACACATCTTATTCAAAAAGAAAAGTCAAGCAAAAGTGAAAAACCGTACGCCAAGTTAACCTGACTATGGGGATGCAAGTTGCAGTCATGCGGGAAGCAGCATCGAAAGAAGAACAGAGTTCCTTTTCTCATTCTCATTTACTTCCGAATGAAAATAGACAAAAGGGGAGTCCACCATATTAACTATAAGAAAAATCGGTGGAAAATCCCTATGTATTAAAAACATATCAGGTCCTTCTATGTATGAAAATTTTATCGGTTAAAAGGACCTGAATTGAAAGTAGTATTTCCTTAAGTTCACATTATTTTGCCAAGTCGTAGGCATGCAAAACTCACTAATAATAATTCAAAAAAAAAAAAAGAACCAACCAATTTTTTAGTGGTTGCTGAAAAGACGAAGTGGTTGTTGAAATGTAATTTAATTTATTTTGTACTGGTTAGATAGATTCATATTCATGCTAATGATAAAATTCATCTTGTAAACTGTAACATGCAGTACTTTCTTTTGTGTATGCAAAGAGTAAAATTTTGAATTGGATTTGGAAATAAAATTCCGTTCTCAAATGCTTTGCATGACCAAAGCATGAGTTTAACGATGAATTCTGCCAAAGGCCTTATAATTTAGTGACATTAATGCTTTCTTATAAGTGGAAAGTCACAGATCCCACTTGTAACTTCAAGTTATTAGTGTCTCCCTCTTAATTTAAAAAACAAAAAAAATAAAAGACGCGCTCTAATTCTAATTCCTTGGCAATCGCTCTATATACTGATTGTTGGCAATTTATTGTCCCTTCACTCATCACTTGGTGGTTTGTTGCAAAAGTTGAAGTGGTTCAAATTTGATAAGCTATTTATTTTTTTTATCACCTTTTTTGAATTGCATACTATGTGCATTATTGCAGAAAATTTATAAGGGTCTGCATTTCTTGCTCATCATGATGAGCACGGAGTACTAAGCACTCAAAAGGTGGATGTTTTGAGCGCTGAGCAGTGATGGACCTTTATTTATTTATTTATGTTTTATTTTCTTTTTCACTGCAAAGAAAATTATGTATTCCTCCAATCCTTAATATAGGACCTAATTGTTGAGTTGGTTTTGGTCCTAAATATAAGACTCATTTTTCATATTTATCAATTTTCTCTAAATTACCCCTATGGATACTCCCTCAACCATAATCAAGTAAAAGAGGAAGATAGGGTATTAAGAAAGATGATAATGGTGTTTTAAAAAAAACATGTCATATTTCTTATAATTAACTAACTTAACTAACTTCCTTAATTTAATCAAATTAGTTAAATGGGTCTTATATTAAGGACCCGAAGAGTATTAGAATTGTTTTATTGTTCATATAATATCTTAAAATATTTTTTATATACATCTAGTGTCATAAAATATTTTGTGATAACACATTTGGAAAAATATTTAAGAATCCAATATCCTAAAGTATTTTGTGATTCATCTACTATCTTAAAATTTTTTTAAGTGCATTCATTATTCAAAATATTTTGTGATGCAACATCACATTGTACTTTAGAACAGTGGACCTACTTAAAAAAAAAAAATTACCTCCGGTCCTAATTATAAGAGCCAGTTGACTAATTTTAGGAGATTAAGGAAGTAAGTTGAGTTAGTTATTTATCCCAAATAGGTGTTCTCTTTCCTAAAATATCCTTACTAATAAAGTGTATTAACTAGAACTATAATTATTAGAAGGATTATCTTAAAAAAAATTAAATAAATATAAGAGACAAAGTAGATTGGGATCTTATATTTAGAACCAAAATAAAAGTCAAACAAGGTCTTATATTAAGGACCAGAGGTAGTATTTCAGGATTTAGTTCTAAACTATTTTATGATTCATATAGTACTCTAAAATATTTTTTCAGTATTTCAGAATATTTTGTGACAAAATATAACAAAATAGAAAATACTTTAAAGACACTTGATGCACATGAAAAAATATTTTAAGTTACTAGATGAATCACAAATTACTTTAAGATACTGAAAGTAGCTGAAAAACTATTTCAGAGTATTAGATGAACCTTAACCAAAAATAATTTTAATACATATATTTTTTTTTAGCAAAAAGGAAAAGAAAAAAATAAAGCAAAAAAAGAAGAAGAAGAAAGGTCCCGCTATCTATCTCTGTTTGTTTGGCACAAAGTTAAAAATTACATTAAAATAAATGAAAGGTGAAGGAAAGGAAGAAAGGTCAGTAAAACTAAAAGGAAAAATTCACCGAAAGTTGGCTCCCGCCAGTTACGCCGGGCAAATTAAAGATTCCTGACGAGAAATTAAATATATTAATTAGTTGACCCAGTCAAATAAAGGCCTACGTAAATCATGAGGTTCCCGGTTTACGCGCCAACATTGCCGAAAGCGAAATATCAGAGAAAGATCACATGCATGCTGCCACTCGCAAGTCTGTAGGATGTTCTACATGATAACTATAATAATCCAGATAAAAAAGAAAATATATTTTGCATCTTATATTGAAATGTAACTATATATACTATTGTGTTTGAGACTCACACAAATTACATATATAAAATTATAATTAATATAATTTGTATTTTGTAGTAATAATTGGACATTTTTTAGTCTTATGTTTACCAGTTTGATATCCTCTGTGGAGCGCCACAAGGTGAAACCAAGGATGTCATTAAGATGTGAGTTTATGCTTATAAATTTATTATGTATAAAATTTATAAAAACATATTATAATATCATTTTTTCTGATTGTTGATAGGACTTTTCAAAATTCTAACATAGTGATGGTGGCAACCATTTTCAATATTTTCATCTTCCAATTGCGTTATTTGGTTTTTAAGTTCTCTTTGGAATTAGTGATGGTGGCAACTATTTTCAATATTTTCATCTTCCAATTGTTCATCCTTTGGAAGCCCTTTAGGTTATAGTTTCCTCCCTCACTACACTCAACATCTCCTCTGTTCATGCCCCGTTCTTCACAGCTCCACTATTTGCTTTATAAGATCAGCCTTTCACTTTTTTCTTTTGAAAAGATTTGGTCATTTTTATTAAATAAATTATTTAAGCTAACTCTCTAAAATTCATGAGCTAATTTTGGCAGATCAATTATTAATACACACTCTCATACATTTGCAAGTAAGTTAGAGAAATATCAGTTGAAAAGGACTGGAATTTAATTATTTAGTTGAAAGATTGAGTTAGACATTCCACAAGTTGAGTTAAAATATAAATATAATCTTTAGCTGTTGTTATTTTGTTGAAATTAACTTCGATAAAAGCACAATTCTTTTTCCTCGTCCTTCTCCCAATTTCCTCCAACCTCTCCCTCGATCCTTTCACACTTCTTTTACATATTTTTGTCTCTCCGTGCTCATCACTAACATTTTAGTGGTTGTTCGAAACATAAAGTAGTTCAAATTTTTACAGTAAGATTCGCTTGAGGTTTTGTACTGATGGGGAGCGGCCTCCATGAGAATAGGTTGTTGCAGAGTCAATTATTAAGTGCGGATGGCGTTTCATACGCCAGAGGATTTAGAACGACTCAATGATGGATTAAGTTACTTTCTATCTACTGCCACTTTCATAATATGCAGTAGAGAGAAATTCAAATAATAAACCCCCAAATTAAATCTTTTTAAG